CAAATTAAGTAAAATTTACCTGATTTATTCACAAATCTTTAACTATATCCTTAATAACTTTTACTAGATAATGATGAGTAAATGTTACTTGAATTTGTAGAATTTACATTTACTTAAACATTAGTGCAAATTGTTACAAGTATTTTTTCAAATAAATCTTACAAGTTCTTTATAACGGCGCACATGCRTCAAGCACAATATTATAGCATGACACCTCACAGCTACAGAGAGAATAAGTGAAGCTAGAGATGTGACGTTCGTGAACGATCCGAATCTTTTGAATGGCTCTTTACAATGAACGATAGGAGCCGAATTGCGGGCAGCAATGAGCCATTTGTAGTTTTATTTCTTTTATTTCTCATATAATATTTATTTACTTAAATCGCTCCCGCTTTGCTTTTTTCACGGAAAAAAGGTGGGGTTGTGGAGTACAGAAGCTCACGATGAAAGGAGGGTGCGGGTTCCGCTTTAACACATGGTTCCACCCATGTGACAGGATTACATCATTATGTACAGCTACCTGATGACGTATTTCCTTCCCTATGTGATGATGTAATATGTTCAAAATTGAATGGCTCTATGAAACAAACAGCTAGCTCCCCAAGATCCAGACCCCTTCAGAGAGCCATTTATCCCATCTCTAAGTGAAGCGCTTGTTGTAGTTCAAGACTTCACCACCACCAGGTGGCATTTTTGAAGAATCTATACAGGTTTCTTCTTCATGAACAACACAAACTAAGTGAAACTCACAGGTCTTATTAATGACTAGGCCTACCACTCTCACTTATGGTTACTTCTGCTGAACGCTTTAACACAAGTTAACAAATAATGAACTCACAAATTAGAGGAACACAACAGACTAATTGCTGAAAGAAAAATGTTAACAAATTCCCTAAAGTGATTTAACAACAGCAAACATGAATCCTACCCACAACCCTCCACTGCAGTCACATGACAAACAGCCAAACACAGCAGAATGCTACAATATACATTCCCTGTCCCCTGACAACTAATTATCACCTACATTACGCCATCAAACTATTGCACACCAACAAATGTGTTCAAGCAAAAGAAACCAGACAACTTATGTTTTATTTTGACCATGTCTTCTCCTCTCCTTGAAAAGTGAAGCAAGGGAATGAGGGTTGTCTCCATATCAGCAGTGAGAACACCAAATCTCATGTATTTACTTTCTGTGTAATTATTGACTCAGTCACACTTGGAGAGTGACTTTTGATCAGAACATATAATAACTAGACAAAAATACATTAATGTTTGACCTGAGTGATTTGTTCAGTTTGTTTAAAATCCTAAAAACGTGGTTCAAACGTCAACAAACACAGCTGTTATCTTCTGATTACTTGAGTGAAGATGTTTCTAACACTTTCATAAAACCTGGAAAAAGGAACAATGAAGGCTTTTACGTGTGTAAAGATGTATGTGCGTTGTTGCAAAACAGCATCAGAGTGCCTTTGGTTGTGTTTTTTGTATGTCTTTATAAGGGGTTGTGTGCGTGTGTCGCCTCCACAGAAAGAGCAGATTGGCTCTCCCAGAGGAGCCTCCTCTTTACACCCCAAAGGCGGCTGTGACCGAAGGGATAGACAAAATCAACAACTCACCTAAAACAAACCAACGTCAACCGGTTTCAAACTGCCAAGTGCTTCACTTTTCCACTCAGTTCAAGAACTAAGAGGATCCAAACCAKAAATGTGCAAAATTAGTCAGGCATGTTGCTCATGAACAGATTGACTTCAGAAAAACATAAAAAATAAATAAAACATTGTGTGTCAATATAGGACATTAAATTCAGGCCACAGCAACAATCCTAAAATAAAAATGTTATTGAGGACAGAGTTTCTCCCTTTTTGTATGTTTTTAGTTTGACTTGAATTAAGAAATACTAGATGTAAGAAAATATAGATCTGTCCCAAAACGTAGTTTTGTTTCCAGGAGTTACTCTAGATTTTACCATGAAAAGTGCACGTTGTTCTATTACTAGAAGAGCTTAATCTTCTATGATGCACCTTGTTGCGCAAAATGACGCACTCCAGCCTTGCCCACCAGGTCAAGGACCTGTTTGTTTTAAAATGTCACCCAAACCCACTACTAGACTCAGACTCCGTCTGTCAGAGGTGACATCGCCCTCGTGGCAGGCCTCTCAGGATCCAGGACACCAGCCGTGATGCAGCGGGCTTTGTTCAGCCGGAGCGCGCTGCTCGCTCAGCAGGCTGCCGCTGCTCTCGACAGCCCGTTGGCTGCGAGGACAGTGCCGCTGCTGCAGCGCCTGGACCGCTCCATGTCCTCAGTCACCATCCCGCCGCCCGCGTGCATGCTCCGACCGCTCGAGGTGCCACACCGTTACCTGTTCGGACCGGGACCATCAAATGTTCCTCCACGTGTTCTGGCCTCTGGATCTAGGCCCATCATTGGTCACTTGCATCCAGAAATGTATCAGGTAAAACGCTCTCAATGTCAGTTAGACTAATAAACTCGACTTTAAATCTCTCATTTAATAGCTTGTGTAGCGTGTTGACTTAACTTTGTAGTATATTTTATTATAAGAAATTACTTAAGGCAGAAGTGTTCCGTGCGTAATTACGCAAGAGCCCGCGTTGCGCACATCCTAAACCATTTAATTTCCAATCACCAATACATGTAACTGGATGCCCATTGCACGTTTTCACTGCCTGTCTCAGATCATGAATGACATCAAAAAGGGGATCCAGTACGCCTTTCAGACAGAAAACAACATGACCCTATCTATGAGCGGCTCCGGACACGCAGCCATGGAGTGCGCTGTCTTCAACACGGTGGAACCCGGAGAAAGCGTCCTCATTTCCACCAACGGCATCTGGGGAGAGCGTGTGGCTGAAATTGCAGAGAGAATGGGTAGGTTTTTACGCACGGATTTTACGCACGCACGTCCTGGTTCAAAACAGGACGTGCGTGCTTATCATCTGTAAGCTAAATGTTACTTTTTAATTTTTCTGCCTGTAGGTGCCAATGTCCATAGATTGGAGAAAGAACCAGGAGGATATTTTACCAATAAAGAAATTGAGCAGGTTGGCATCATCATGTCTGAAAAAAGCTTTAAACTTTCAATTTAAACATCAAAGTGAGCCTCGTTTGCACCACTGATTAAAAACACAAAAACAAAACAAATGTGTTTCTTTCCAGGCCATATCGAAACACAAGCCGGTCTTGTTTTTCCTCGCACACGGAGAGTCCTCAGCTGGTCTCTGTCACCCTGTGGATGGCATTGGAGACATTTGCAGAAAGTAAGTTTCCTGCTCCAAACAGAACTCTCTCATGTCTTATTATACCCAGCTGCTCACTGTTCCATCTCCCGCAGACACAACTGCCTCTTTCTGGTTGACACAGTCGCCTCACTCGGAGCGGCACCAATTTTTATGGACAAACAAAGTAGGAAAATCACAAGTAAACTTAACTTTCTCTGACTTAAAGTGCCTGCATGTAACTGCACTTTGTGTGTGTTTGAAGAGATTGACATCCTGTACACTGGGTCTCAGAAGGCTCTGAATGCACCTCCTGGCACAGCACCCATCTCTTTTAATGACAGAGCATGGTAAGGAAAGCATCAGCACTATTCTAAAGTCTGACAACGATTTTAAAGTTGTTAAAGCCACTGATCTCTTCTCCCGTCACATAGCCAGAAGATGTTCAACAGGAAAACAAAACCTGTTTCATATCTCTTTGACATGACCCACTTGTCCAACTATTGGGGCTGTGATGGGAAACCAGCCAGGGCGTGAGTTCACTGATTGTTTATGTTCGTTAAATAGATTCTATTTTGCTGGAAAGGTTATTTTTTTTAGTCTATAACCTAATATAACACAACATAACACAGGCATGTGCTATGGATTTTAGATACCACCACACTGGTCCTGTTTCTGGGTTCTTTGCGCTCAGAGAGAGTCTGGCAATTCTTGCTGAAAAGGTAAAGAGACGTTTTATTAAAACTTCAAACTCATATTTAGTTTGAGCTTTCCTTCTGAAGTTTTCAGATTAAGGTTTCTTTTAAGGTTCTAAGGCACAACTCTGTGTCGTATGGAGAGGGAAACACATTTTTGGTGGTCAAGAGTAAAACCTGTGAACGATGCTTTGTTAAATTGCTCTTTTTATACAAGTGCTGCTGAAATCTTGACCTGTTTAAAAGCTTTTCAAGTGTAAAGTTTTTTGTTTTGTTTGTTTTTGTTCAAACTGGGAGGCTGAGGCATCTATATATATATAT